AGGAGTATAGGACAGATCACCACATGATAGGAGTATAGGACAGATCACCACATGATAGGAGTATAGGACAGATCACCACATGATAGGAGTATAAGACAGATCACCACATGATAGGAGTATAGGACAGATCACCACATGATAGGAGTATAAGACAGATCACCACATGATAGGAGTATAGGACAGATCACCACATGATAGGAGTATAAGACAGATCACCACATGATAGGAGTATAGGACAGATCACCACATGATAGGAGTATAAGACAGATCACCACATGATAGGAGTATAAGACAGATCACCACATGATAGGAGTATAAGACAGATCACCACATGATAGGAGTATAGGACAGATCACCACATGATAGGAGTATAGACAGATCACCACATGATAGGAGTATAGGACAGATCACCACATGATAGGAGTATAAGACAGATCACCACATGATAGGAGTATAAGACAGATCACCACATGATAGGAGTATAAGACAGATCACCACATGATAGGAGTATAGGACAGATCACCACATGATAGGAGTATAAGACAGATCACCACATGATAGGAGTATAGGACAGATCACCACATGATAGGAGTATAGGACAGATCACCACATGATAGGAGTATAAGGACAGATCACCACATGATAGGAGTATAGACAGATCACCACATGATAGGAGTATAGGACAGATCACCACATGATAGGAGTATAAGACAGATCACCACATGATAGGAGTATAGGACAGATCACCACATGATAGGAGTATAGGACAGATCACCACATGATAGGAGTATAGGACAGATCACCACATGATAGGAGTATAGGACAGATCACCACATGATAGGAGTATAAGGACAGATCACCACATGATAGGAGTATAAGACAGATCACCACATGATAGGAGTATAAGACAGATCACCACATGATAGGAGTATAGGACAGATCACCACATGATAGGAGTATAAGGACAGATCACCACATGATAGGAGTATAGGACAGATCACCACATGATAGGAGTATAGGACAGATCACCACATGATAGGAGTATAAGACAGATCACCACATGATAGGAGTATAGGACAGATCACCACATGATAGGAGTATAAGGACAGATCACCACATGATAGGAGTATAAGACAGATCACCACATGATAGGAGTATAAGACAGATCACCACATGATAGGAGTATAGGACAGATCACCACATGATAGGAGTATAAGACAGATCACCACATGATAGGAGTATAGGACAGATCACCACATGATAGGAGTATAGGACAGATCACCACATGATAGGAGTATAAGACAGATCACCACATGATAGGAGTATAGGACAGATCACCACATGATAGGAGTATAGGACAGATCACCACATGATAGGAGTATAAGACAGATCACCACATGATAGGAGTATAGGACAGATCACCACATGATAGGAGTATAGGACAGATCACCACATGATAGGAGTATAGACAGATCACCACATGATAGGAGTATAGGACAGATCACCACATGATAGGAGTATAAGACAGATCACCACATGATAGGAGTATAAGACAGATCACCACATGATAGGAGTATAAGACAGATCACCACATGATAGGAGTATAGGACAGATCACCACATGATAGGAGTATAAGACAGATCACCACATGATAGGAGTATAGGACAGATCACCACATGATAGGAGTATAAGACAGATCACCACATGATAGGAGTATAGGACAGATCACCACATGATAGGAGTATAAGACAGATCACCACATGATAGGAGTATAAGACAGATCACCACATGATAGGAGTATAAGACAGATCACCACATGATAGGAGTATAAGGACAGATCACCACATGATAGGAGTATAAGACAGATCACCACATGATAGGAGTATAGGACAGATCACCACATGATAGGAGTATAAGACAGATCACCACATGATAGGAGTATAGGACAGATCACCACATGATAGGAGTATAAGACAGATCACCACATGATAGGAGTATAAGACAGATCACCACATGATAGGAGTATAGGACAGATCACCACATGATAGGAGTATAAGACAGATCACCACATGATAGGAGTATAAGACAGATCACCACATGATAGGAGTATAGGACAGATCACCACATGATAGGAGTATAGGACAGATCACCACATGATAGGAGTATAAGGACAGATCACCACATGATAGGAGTATAGGACAGATCACCACATGATAGGAGTATAGGACAGATCACCACATGATAGGAGTATAGGACAGATCACCACATGATAGGAGTATAGGACAGATCACCACATGATAGGAGTATAGGACAGATCACCACATGATAGGAGTATAGGACAGATCACCACATGATAGGAGTATAAGACAGATCACCACATGATAGGAGTATAAGACAGATCACCACATGATAGGAGTATAGACAGATCACCACATGATAGGAGTATAAGACAGATCACCACATGATAGGAGTATAGGACAGATCACCACATGATAGGAGTATAGGACAGATCACCACATGATAGGAGTATAGGACAGATCACCACATGATAGGAGTATAGGACAGATCACCACATGATAGGAGTATAGGACAGATCACCACATGATAGGAGTATAGGACAGATCACCACATGATAGGAGTATAAGACAGATCACCACATGATAGGAGTATAAGACAGATCACCACATGATAGGAGTATAGGACAGATCACCACATGATAGGAGTATAAGACAGATCACCACATGATAGGAGTATAAGACAGATCACCACATGATAGGAGTATAGGACAGATCACCACATGATAGGAGTATAAGACAGATCACCACATGATAGGAGTATAAGACAGATCACCACATGATAGGAGTATAAGACAGATCACCACATGATAGGAGTATAGGACAGATCACCACATGATAGGAGTATAGGACAGATCACCACATGATAGGAGTATAAGACAGATCACCACATGATAGGAGTATAGGACAGATCACCACATGATAGGAGTATAAGACAGATCACCACATGATAGGAGTATAAGACAGATCACCACATGATAGGAGTATAGGACAGATCACCACATGATAGGAGTATAAGACAGATCACCACATGATAGGAGTATAAGACAGATCACCACATGATAGGAGTATAGGACAGATCACCACATGATAGGAGTATAGGACAGATCACCACATGATAGGAGTATAAGACAGATCACCACATGATAGGAGTATAGGACAGATCACCACATGATAGGAGTATAAGACAGATCACCACATGATAGGAGTATAGGACAGATCACCACATGATAGGAGTATAGGACAGATCACCACATGATAGGAGTATAAGACAGATCACCACATGATAGGAGTATAAGACAGATCACCACATGATAGGAGTATAGGACAGATCACCACATGATAGGAGTATAGGACAGATCACCACATGATAGGAGTATAGGACAGATCACCACATGATAGGAGTATAAGACAGATCACCACATGATAGGAGTATAGGACAGATCACCACATGATAGGAGTATAAGACAGATCACCACATGATAGGAGTATAGGACAGATCACCACATGATAGGAGTATAAGACAGATCACCACATGATAGGAGTATAGGACAGATCACCACATGATAGGAGTATAAGACAGATCACCACATGATAGGAGTATAGGACAGATCACCACATGATAGGAGTATAAGACAGATCACCACATGATAGGAGTATAAGACAGATCACCACATGATAGGAGTATAGGACAGATCACCACATGATAGGAGTATAAGACAGATCACCACATGATAGGAGTATAAGACAGATCACCACATGATAGGAGTATAGGACAGATCACCACATGATAGGAGTATAAGACAGATCACCACATGATAGGAGTATAAGACTGTTTCGGGAATTAAAATGTAATATCATCGTTATCCCCCAGTCTTGTTGAAACTTGCTTTACAGATCAGTCTCATGGTGAACTCGTGTCTTTTGATGATTTGGTGTTTTATTTTTTTTTATTCTGTTTTTGGTTTTCATGAGGATAAGTTGGACTTTACTTCACTAAAGATTAAGGTAGTGCTCATTTCCGGAGCTGAACAACCGTTGAATATGTCTTGTCGAAACTTGCTATGCAGATCAGTTGGCTTCGGTTTCACTAATCTTTTCAAGGTTCCTCAAGTCCAACAATCCACACCGTTTTCCCGTCATGGTTTGAGCTACCTTTCAGGTGGCACCATTTATAACTATACTATCAATAACGATGTAATCACTAAATCTGCACCTGAAAACTGACCTTCAGCGACAAAGCTGAATCACAATACGATTCTTATTTGTGAAGTCATCCATTATTGTTCTATGACCTTGCTATTTGTAAATCAATGACCTCTGTGTGAGGTTTTTGATACAGCCACTACACTTATGCTGATGTTTGTTGTTTTGTTCATAATGGGATCAGCTATTGAAATTCTATCCATTTTGGCTATAATAACACTAACATTTTTCAGGAACCCTTGGTTCAACTGCTCTTGTTCGTCGGGCACTTAATGGCAGACATCGGGCTTCTGCAAATGATACTGCCCTGAAAAATAATGTTAACCTTATGGCATATTGTTTTAGTCATCTACAAGACGACTTGCAGGGAGAGCTTAACTTTCTCAGGGTACATGTATATGTGATGTGTTGGACGTTATGTTAAGCCTGTTGAATAGGTATGTTTCCTACTACACTAAACTGTATGGAAGAGTTAGGTATGTCTGTCTAAAGTGGTACCATTAAACCTCTCGGTGTCTTTCTTTGTTGAGTTCTTGGATATTCTGAACTTACATTTATATTGCGTGTACAGTATTCTACTTCACATAAATGTATTTGTCTGTTTGTTTACCTTCGTTCCGAGTCCATGCATTGTAATTGTGGACTCTGGTCATATCATAGATCATTATCAAATCATATTCTGATCAAATGCAAAATGCCAATAATGTGTTTTCACTGCAGTTGAGCCGAACATAGAAGACTCTGAGAAATGCTGCTACCATGTATTGCACGCTTGTGACAATCTTTGCGATAAACAGTAAGTATAACAACGCAAAGTTTCATTACTCCTTTACTAAGGGCGGTCGGGTAGCCTAGTGGTTAAAGCGTTCACTCGTCACGCCGAAGACCCGTGTTCGATTCCCGACATGGGTACAATGTGTGAAGCCCATTTCTGGTGTCCCCCGCCGTGATATTGCTGGAATATTGCTACAAGCGGCGTAAAACCATACTCACTCACTCACTCCTTTACTATATAATCTACCTATCACATCAATGTCATTATTTACAGTAATAACTGCAAGATCAGCAACACAGTCTTTATGGGAGCATCTATTCTCGTGAAACAAGACCACATTCTAAACTACTTGTTGGACTGTGTGTGCGAATCTGTTTTTATTGCAGTTGTCCTCGTTACCACTGCCTGCCTGTCGGGACAGTTCGGTCCAGATTGTGACAGAAACTGTTCCTGTCATTGTGCTCTGACAGAGACAACTAAAGTAAAGCATTGTCAGGCCTAGGTTGAACACCAGGGTGAAAAGTCAGCTTCACACGAAAGCTGGTCTTCATGTTATGTCAGATGAAATGTGCAATGGTGTCCGCTACACTTATAAACTACTTGTTGGACTGTGTGTGCGAATCTGTTTTTATTGCAGTTGTCCTCGTTACCGCTGCCTGCCTGTCGGGACAGTTCGGTCCAGATTGTGACAGAAACTGTTCCTGTCATTGTGCTCTGACAGAGACAACTAAAGTAAAGCATTGTCAGAAGACTGACGGAGAGTGCTCCGAAGGATGTGTTCCTGGTTGGCACGGTGACCAGTGTGATCAGCCTTGCCGCACGACCTGTGTCAAGAACATCTGTAATCAACACAACGGACACTGCACTCAAGGCTGTCTAGAACTCTACACAGGGGATTACTGTAACGAAACTATCCTCTTGAACAATAGTGACGAAACTATCCCCTTGAACAATAGTAAAGACTGCAGAGGTAACTATATGTAAACTACTATGTGGTGTAAAACACTATTTCAATGCTTCACAATTGTCATTACATCGTGGCCATGGCAGTACAAAATACACACCGTAAGATAACATGCTACTCTATGCAATATACGTCTCTTGACGCAATACGTTGCTCATCTGTGCTTGAAACACTACACAATCTAGCTAAAGGTTTATCATATCAACTCAGATTATAAATCAACGAATGGCTTCTTTGTGTGCACCTACATTGATTTGATAGCCCTAAGTTGAACTTGTTATAAAATGCGTCGACAGGAACGACGATGAAAATAACTCCAAATAATGGTTATATTTTTATTGTTTGTTTGGTTTAGTTGATTCGATGTACATAACACATGACAGATTGTTTCGTAAACACACACTTGGTTATTAGTTTCCAGTCCATGTGAGGAGTGCACACAGACTATCTTGGTCCTAAGCATCGCTTTGGGGATATCGGTAGCTGCTGCACTTGTCTTGTAAGTCATGTTGTTTAGCAAAAAAAAACCAGGTGTTCTATTGTTCCAAAGAAGGAATTGAAGCTACTCCAAACAAATTATGCTAAAGTTTGTAAATGGTTTCGAAGCATGACGCACTAATTGTAACATTCACATGAAAGTGGATTGTTTTATCTCTAATTCTAAGATAATTGAAAATGATATTACATGACATATCTTTTATTCTCATACTCTGAAAGATAAAAATTCAGGACTAAACTTATTCATTTATCGTTGAATTAATGTTAAGATTTAATCAAAGCAGCAATGCTGTGTATATTGTCTTCACTGTCTTTGGCAGTAATATATTTGCTTTCGTATGTTTTCAGGGCTCTTGTTCTATGGTATTGCCACAAGAATAGTAAGTGTGGCATCACTATCCCTTTGAATATACAATATACTTTCTTAAATGTTAAATATCTCAACAAAATGCTCTGAACTGTTGTAGAGGTTACATTGTTCTGTTTCAATAATATACGTTTGAGTGTCTCCATGCATGATGGCAGCCTGTTATAGATAGTACTGTTACATATTTCAGTAGATATTTTGACAAAATTCATGTCATGTGTTGCCTTTTTGGGGTGGATAAATGCGCTTGTATGTCTCCATCAAACATATGCAAGTATCTATTTCTATTCTTCCCTAACAATATCTTAGCTAACATTGTTTACAGGATTGACTACTCCAACAGTGAGTAACCAACAACCAGACGAATTAAGGGAAATGAATCCGGAATGAATTAGTGACCAGAAGTAAGCGATAAACTAATCCCTTTCTGCATGCATTCTTCAAATGGCTGGACATTTCTTTGTTCTAGTGTCGTCACAATCTGATCCATATTTATAACATACGGCAAGTAGCAAGTATATTGGACATAACAGGAGACTATTTAAACAAGGATTGACTCATAATGTGTCTGTATAGTGGAATCTCTAACAGTTGACAAAACATGACACAATTTCCACATAACGATAATCAGAGTGTGGGATAATAACATATCCCCAATTCCTCGCAACTTATATGTAATTCTCTAAAAGGAACTCAGATAAGCCTTGACCCCGGAAAAGAGGTAACCTCTTTGAATCTGAGTAAATATACCTGATTTTGATGGTTTTTCATTCAGTGACATCACACACGCTAGATTATATATTTGTTTATGATTTCAAGTACAAGATATAGAAATGTTATAAAAATGAACAAAAAACCCTACTTTTTTCAGATCTACAAATATGGAAAATGTTCTATGGTACAGTTATTTCATCGTAGGTATGTTGTAATAACCTCTCTATACGTCCATATAATTGCTGATTACTAATTGTAGAATATGTGCATTAGCTTAAGTATCGGTAAGATCAGATTTTATAATGTTTTACTCTTCCATACCCCAGTGTGGATCCTGGGTCATAAAAAGTTGATCAACGTTGGGATTGCTTTGGCCTGTATATGGGATTAAGTTGACTTTGTTTCTTTGTACTTTGATAGCTGTTGAACAATTTGTTAACCCAGAAATCTGTACGTAAAAGACTTTAGTGTGAAACAGCCGACAATTGGTATACGATGAACAATTGTTTCACAAAATTAACCTGATTTACAAATCCATACAAATCACTGCACAGCAATTTACAATACCAGCACACAACAGAGAGACAACAAGATTCAATGACAGAATAATATGTGAGAGCAGTGGAAATGGCAATGACAAGAATAATTATCACCTGGTCGCAACAGTGGTCAAGCCTGCAAGATAGGCCTAGGTTGAACACCAGGGTGAAAAGTCAGCTTCACACGAAAGCTGGTCTTCATGTAATGTCAGATGAAATGTGCGATGGTGTCCGCTACACTTATAAATTCTAACAAGCTTCCAACACTTTCTACACAGTGCCAGATCACTCCAGTGTCACTTGAACAACACAGATTATTCCACATTTCTATGACACTTGACATTCATCCATGCTATTCCGAAGGTTCACAGATATTTCGATATTCTGAACATAATTACTACGAAAGCCTAATGATGCCACTTTGGTCGCATTACTTCTTTATTTTTAAATCGAAATTTCTCGTTATTTCAATTATTTTCTCATAATTACGGGTATTTTCACATTACTTTGAATATTTTCTTAATGTTTGATTATTATCTCGTCATTTCAAGTTTATTTCAAGTAATCGAAATTTCGATTTTTTTTCTCGTTGCTTTGATTATTTCCTCATTATTTAACAAGGAAATAATCAAAATAACGAGAAAATCTAAGCAACGAGAAATTAATCTAAATTTGGAATTGTTCAGATAAACTTGAAATACCTAGAGAGTATTCCAAAAAAAACAAGAAAAAAACTCGTTATTTCGAGAAAATAATTGAAATAACGAGAAATTTTGAGTAGGAAAAAATAATGATAAGTGCCGTCATTAGGCTTTTGTAAATAACATTCACGCCACTGCTTATATTAAATCGTACTACATTCCTGACAACTAATCATTGTCCAAATACAATGCAATGAACTGAATCTCAACAGAAACAATGCAATACAGTTACACTCATTATTTAACAATAAATTACACTGCCATATAACATAGCAGAGAGGTTTGCTCATGTTTTAAGTTACTGGTTTGCCTCGTTGGAACTTGTTTACTTATATGATAACATTCACAACTTCTTCTTTTTTAGTTTACATGGCCCCCCTGTATGGATCTACGTCCTGCCAGAACTGCTTACGGCAGAAGTGTGATGCTCGTGAAATATGCACTGAAGGATGTATAGCTGGCTACACAGACGAGTACTGTCAGCATCCTTGCCAGGAGACATGTCTCAACTCCTCATGTGACGTAGAACTACACTCTGGGAGGACTGTCTGTCGTGATGGCTGTGTAGATGGTTACTGTGGGATTCGTTGTAAAATACCATGCCCCGAAGGATGTCTGACGTGTGACCAGTCTCATTGCGAGAACTGTACTCTCTGTAGGGCTGATTTGTATGGTGCCAAGTGTGAACATTCCTGCTTGCACAAATGTGACGGCTTTGCCTGCAATGTTTTGGGAAGTTGTTTAGCAACGTGTATAGATGGTCGTCATGGTGCCCACTGTAATGTGTCCTGTCAGTCCAACCATCAGTCATGTGACAGGGACACTGGCCAATGTCAACAATGTAAAGTCGGACATTTCGGCAACGAGTGTCAACATCTGTGCCCTTCATGTCTCACAACAGAGGAGGAACAGTTTTACACGTGCAGGTCTGGATGCAAGGTTTGCAGCAGTCAGTCCACAGCAGAACCTCAACGTTAGTGGTATATTATGTATATAGCATGGCATAGAAATTAGTCAAAAGGCATTTCTTAGAAGTTGACGGACGACAATGTAGACAAACAAATAATGGATAACAACTTCTTTATTATACTGTGATAGCGACGTTTGGGTATGGATCCCTCTACTGTTGTCAAGCATGACAGTCAAGGAAACATCACTATCACTGTATAATACAGAAGCTGTCAGCCATAATTTCTTTGTCACATAAATATAACCATAAGTAGCATATTATGTTTGTAGTATGTGATGGGTTTTATCATTTGTCCAAGACCTGATCATCTAACAATGTTGCACATTATATTTCTATATCTTATCATCTTTGTTATTCAGGAAGGAACTCCATACTGAACTCCGATGTGAAGATGATTGTGACTGGCATACGTGGTCTGTGCATCGCCCTGTTGGTGATCAACATCACTACTTTGGTCATACATATGCTGTAAGTCGTAACATTATAACTTTTACATATTTCTGAACGAATCAATGTACGCTTAAGCACGGAGGCTAATGTGTTTGATGCATCATGCTGTGAAAAAAAACTCAATAAGTTTGGCATATCACAAAAGATACATGTTACTATAAGGAGTTTGAGTAACTGAAATGCCTGTTATCTCTGTACCCTATGTTTCGCAAAACATCTGAAGCCCTTGTATAATTCACAATTTATATGGAAGGCACAGACTGGCAATGCATTATGCTATATTGTAACATAAAGTGCTCAAAAGTGAGCAAGCAAGATAATGCCAAGTCAGAGCGCTGAAACATTTCCTTTCAGATTTTCAGCATGGCCAAGGGTATGTAAGAGGAAGAAAGAGAGAAGAAACAGTGCAGGTAGACCAATAACTTTACAGTTTCAACACAAGCACTTACACACAAACATGTTATGCATATTGATAGTTATTTTTGGTATTCTAATGTAATTCCATTTTGACAGCACATTTTTATTCATTCTTTATTCAATAAAGAATAACGCAGGTAGGTTGAGTCTAAAAAAATTTTTTTTTAATCTGCATTGAACTAAACTGGTGACTTTCAGTGGTTGCACATTAACGTGTGGTTAACAGATGCAGGAATACTGCAGAAGATATATGAAAATACTGCGAAACAGAGGCGGAAATTTGTTAAATAGAATTAATTGTTTACTTACATGTATCCTGCATTACTCCTGAATGCACATTCCTGCTTGTTCTTTGTATGTTTTAACATGTGCATAACCTTTTTACACCTTTTCATAAAAAAAAGAAAACATTTGTAAACCCAGGTGTCTTGTTGTTTCAAATAGCCATAAATATTTTACGTGGCCATGAGTTATGAACTGGCTTACGATCTGTATTCTTCTTGCATGGTACCTCACCATTGTCATACCTTTGCAAGTACATTGTTTTGTCATTGTATGTTGTCTCATGTTTGTCATAATATTCGTTTCCTAAACCCACATAGTGGGAAAATTATAGCATACATAATCGGGCGGGAATGCATTGTGATTTTACACGGCTTTATTGCATACAAAATGGCACCCTTTTCCAAGTGCCCGCGTAATATGTCAGTGTGGGATCCCCACATCTATCGTTATGGCGGCAGCCACTACCATGACACCCGCCGAGGCGTTCTCCTATTAAATGGCGCCTATCCAGTCCACCGGACAGACGAAGTTGGTCTACAGCTTCCAACAGCCGCCTTTGATGGACGCCCTAGTCCGCCAGTGCTATTAGTACTTGAAGGCCATGCAACAAGCCCTGTGCATATATAGCTAACAACGCCACCTCTAGTGTCTCTGTTTGCACCTATCCTTGCGCCTCTCCGGTGTGCACCTCTACAGACGCCTGTACAGACACACTCTCTCCTACCGATAGTCGATCGAGAGGTTACCTCCCGATACTCTCCGAACTCCGCTTCACCTAACCTGTAGCTTTACCACGATCTCCTTGTGGCTATGTGCTTTCATTCTCCTTGGAGAGAGCAGACATACTCTCAAAGATTTCCCTTTCTATGGCGTCTGGTAGATATTATCTGCACCGAAGTTGACGATCACAACTTCATGACTGATTCGGTATTCATGATCAAAAGAATTGTCATATGCTTCCGGGTACCCAACTGGATCTTCGTTCACACGACCAGACCAGTCGTCACTCTTATCATGGGGATCAACTTGCCCCTACACCAGCAACGTCACAGTTTCTGCTCAGAACTTGGACACACTACTTGTCTGTCCACCACAGGGTTCACAGGGGATTGACCGTGTGTGGAGCTTGAATCTGGTCGACTGAGCATACAGGGTTATGCAGTTTACTGAGCAAGACGAATTACATGTAACGTGTCAAGAAGTCTGACTGTAAATATCTTCGACCATAATCAGGTCAACTAATGGGATCCGCGCAGTGTATTTGTACAGACTGGCTTATGTAGAAGGACTAAAAGCGTACGCTTTTCCACTACCTGTACTCCTTCCCAGGGTCGTCCAGAAGATCAGATCAACGCAGAGTCTTGATCTTACTTTGGTCGTGCCCTGATCGGCGGTGAGGGCTTAAATTAGCCGACACCGACCCGCTGACACTCCAGATGGGCCAAACCTGCTGATATCATCCAAACAGCAGGCAGCCACACCCCGAACCAGACAAGCTATGTTTTCACGTCTGGTCTATTCGCAGAGAACCTGAACGCCAAAGGTTACTCAGCCAGAGCGGCAAAGGCCATCACGATGACTCAAGCCCAAGCACCAGAAAACTCTATGACGACAATAGGCAATCCTTCGGAATCCAACTACTGCATTGCAGCAATTCCTGGCCGAGTTCCTGCTCTATCTTCACCTACCTTGTGGCACTCAACTCCGTCCTGGCAGATAGGTGCATGACGAAAATCCCGGAATCGCTACAGCCCGTGTGAGTGAGTGAGTGAGTTAATGCTTTACGTCACATCGGCAATATTTCAGCCATATCGTAACGAGAAGTTATACATTATTAATACATATATTTAAACTAAATAAAACCTGTCATCGATTGACAGTAAAATTACTAGAATATCACAGATTAATGTTTAAAACTAGCATACAACTATAAAAAGATATCACTAAATGAAACAGTACAATATAAAAAAACGGCTACAGATCCGCCAGCAGCTGAAGGTAGATCACCTTGCTAGGGTCCATGGACTTTACATAATCCCTTCAGCTGTTGGCGATTAATGACAAATTTAGCTAGATTAAACGAACATTTATACTATGATTAAAAAAGTGGCAGAAATAAACATTCTTTGAAAGACGTGGTCTTACATACCCTCTCAGGGGGACAATAATTTTACACTACTTTAACCCCCTTCGAGGATATAGCCACTAACAATCTCAGTTATTGATTCATACTTCCAATTATAAAAGTTATTTATTTATTTACAAAATATAGCAATCAAAATTTATGAATTAATTCAATTTCCTTTAAAACACCAAGAATAAAATAAGTACTTACCGGTGTAAAAAGGTCCTTCATAGATGAAACTTTGAAATACTTATCCCTTGTGATGGAAAAATCAACACAGTCTAGCAGAACATGCTTGGCCGTGATTCTTTCATCACAAGGGATGCAGGACGGAGGATCCTCACCTTTTAAAATATACTGAGTCAAAGTAAAAACTTCACATTTTTAAAAGTAATCCCATATATGATATACAACGGACAAATGTATCAGAGAAGGTTATTTTTAATCATTAATGTCCAAAGAAGGATTTTAATTAACGGTGGTGACCATAATTTGTTCCAAGCACCTAGGGTACTCAAGCACGAGAATCTGATGGCACACAAGTTCAGTAGCGTGTATGGCCACCATGTGCGTTGCCAACTGCCACGCAACGCCTCCGCATGGACCTTGTGATGCTTGTGAACACATGATTGGGAGGACGACGCCATTGTTGCTGCAAAATGGTGCCAAGATCTTGCAAATTCTGTGGTTGCTTCTAGGAGGGTGCGCAGACTTCTGCCAAGAGCATCCCAGACTTGTTCCATGGGATTGAGGTCAGGAGACCTTGACGGCCTGTCCATGATGTTGACTCCCGCATTCTGAAGGAAATTCCTTGTCAAAATTGGACCGCCTCCGTGGTCTTGTGGTAGAGCGTCCGCCCGGAGAGCGGAAGGTCCAGGGTTCGATCCCGGGCCGCGTCATACAAAAAGACGTTAAAAGATTGTACTTGTTGTTACCCTGTCTGGCGCTCGGCATTAAGGGGCTAAAACAAGGACTGGTCGGCTCGGAGTCAGTATACTGTGTCTGAGTGGGGTATTCATGTTAAACTGCGGCATGGTATCTCAGTGAGCTAGCACTATAAATCGGCATCAGTCCGGACTAGTACAAGCAGCCACACACACACATACACGTGCATGCACGTCGCTATATAAGTGCAATAATCTTGGACGCGACGTTAAACCCAATTTCACCTCACCTCACCTTGTCAAAATTGCTGTGTGGGGTCTGGCATTGTCGTGTTGGAAGATCAAAGCGGGTCTATGTGCTGCCATAAAAGGCAGAAGTTCTGGTGCCAGTACCTGGTTGCGGTAAGCAGCAGCGTTGAGGTTGCCACGGATGACAAGAAGCCTAGAATGTGGATTGCCACAGAAAGCACCCCACACCATGACACTTCCGCCTCGAAATCTGTCAACTTCCTGTACACAACACTGGGCATAACATTCATGACGGCGCCTCCACACCCTCGCCCTACCATCAGCAAATCGAAGATTAATTTGGGATTCATCACTGAAGACGACTTGATTCCAATTTCTCTGAGTCCATCGTAAGTGTCGCTGTGCACACAATTGATGTTGACGTCTGTTTAACTGAGTCAGAATCGGCCTGCAGTATGGCCGTCGTGCTTGACGGTGAGCAGTTCTCAGACGGCTTCGAACAGTTTGCACACTCAGTCTACCCCTAAACAGTTAATTTCTGGTTGATGTAGCCGTCAAAAATCGGTTATGGAGGTGACGTAAGACAATCTGACGATCCTCTGCATGTGACGTCTCACGTGGTCGACCTGGCCGAGGGCGATCAGTGGTGGTACCCGTTTGCTGTAGACGCGTCTGTAAATCATAAACAGTCCGTCGACTACAACCCATCGTCCTTGCGACTTCAGCTACAGACGTTCCCGTCTGCAACATGCCGATGGCACGTTCACGTTGCACATTTGAAAGGCGTGGCATGACAAATGGCCATTTTGTTTTTGACTTTTGTTTTCTTGTTAATGACTGCTAACAAGTATGGCTGAAAAGACGTGCGGTATTATGGCCACGTGACCAGTTGCACGTGAAAAAAACCTTTTGCCACTATAGTGCTGTGCACATGATTTTGATCGATTCACCTGCACAAAAACGGGTGTTATCTGAAGACAGTACGTGGCCATTACTGTTTAAATACACAATAAGGGCCAACAATGATAACTGGTCAAAATGTTCAAATTTTAGGATTGTGAAGTTTTTAATTAGGTTCAGTATATATTCATGAGTATGAAGTGAATGGCCAATACATCATCGTCTTAAAATGACCTCTTCAAATCTGGACTGACAACCCAAGTAGGTATAACCAATGAATCATTTAAAACTTTTGACAAACTGTTAATTTTTATACTGAATAAAGTGACAGACAAAATGCTACCTTGTGGGACACCCTGATCCTGATTATAGTGATCAGACAGGGTGTACCCACTCGGACTTGAAATTGCCTGTCTGTTAAAAACTGAGAGTCGAAACAGATCGATACAGCATGTTGTCTATTTACAATGGAATTTGTAATGAACGATTCTAAACGCACTAAATGATCGAAAGTACTTCTGTTTTTCCGAAAACCACATTGTATATTGCT